CACTCACAGGTGGGTCCCTCTCAGTGTGTAACTTTAAAAACCACACAATAAACTTAAATTACATCCCATTGGCAGCTCAGAGATTCTTTTAATAGAAAACATTATTATCTTAAATACCTTCCAACTACTCAGACCTCCAGAACTGCATATATCAATACTCAAAAGTAGGGGTTACCTCTTCTTGTTACAGAAGATACAGTTCTCCTCATACTCTTGCTCCATGTTTTCACAGGCTGAAAGGATCACTAACACTGTATTTTGTTTCCTCAGAACTGGTTTCGAGCAGCAGCCACTCAAGTCGTGTCCAGTAGCAAGAGCAAAGTGCCAGAGGAGGATGACGGGATAAAAGCTGAAGTGAGGAACGGTGCCACAACCGGTAAGAAGAGGGGACGCAAGCCCAAAGAGCGCCCACCCGTCGAGGAGCCTCTCCAAACAAAGACTGAAGCAGCTTCTCCTACTCAAAACTCAGCCCCTGCAGGGAACCCTTCCTCAGGCCCAACACAGTCTCCCACCCTGATCCCTGACCCAACGGACAGTAACAATTCAGGCCAAAACAGACAGCCAATCCTCTCTACCCCCAGACGAAGCAAACCTAAGAGGCTGTGGTTTTCAGAGTAGCTCTGCTTTTGCCGACCCAGGAGCCAGAGAGGATACTTACTGTAAATGTTATTGCCAGGAAGCTTAAAGACTTTTTCCAACTCTACAAGGACTTGGCACAGGGAAGAAAGTTAAATCCACCGTAAGGAAGTGAGACATTTAGAAAGGACTTCAAACCCTAGTTTTAAACCCCAGAGTCAATGTGTCTACTGTTATATAAATAATACTTATCTAACAGTAGTGTTCATTTCTTCATTCCACTTATTTCTCCTCTATAAGGCACACATTTCAGTTGATGCACTCACAGCAGGGGTGTCAGTAGTAATCAAAGATCTAATCCTTCCTGCTTCATGGATAGCATTTTCTAAACTGAGGTAACATAGTATTTCAAACAAATGCAGAGAAATTCATGTCGTGTTCGAGAGGTTTTAAAAAGGATATTCTATTAGCATGGTGAAGTCATTTAATGATAGCTAGAGTTTTCACATTTTTTTACAGATATACTGTACTGTGTACATAAACAATATCTATCTCTATATATCTATATACTCAAAACAATGATATCTGTTATTTCCAAGCCTGACACATCCAATTGGAACATGATCAATCCAAATGTTTGCAGTGTGTGCTGTAGTGCAATTTTGTTTGGATTTCTTTCTTTCTGGTTAAACTTTCATTTTTTTTATTTTTTTTTATTTTTTTTCACTTTTCATGTTTCCAGTCAGCAAACGTCATATAAGCTAAAATGTTGGTCAGTTGTTCATCAAATTCCTCTCTGCTATTCTTCTGCTTCTACGTAGCGATCACTTCAGTGACGTTGGTTTGATTTGATTAGCATCGCATCACGATGAAGGTATCTGCTTCGACAACCATAATTGTTAGATGATTTCCGCGGTTTTCTTTACACTGAAGTTGATGGGCAGAATTTATAGAGTGATCGTTTGAGATTTCCATCTATAAAATATTAGTTACAAGGATTCCTAATATGGCATTGTTTAATTGATTTTAAACAAACAAAAAAAAAACTTGAAGCATTCTGTCTAAAATCAGTCCGCTGAAGTGAAATGTTGGACAGATTGGATGAATTTTGCGTGAACCTTGTTGCACCATTGCAGCACAATCAAATGATGTGACACTATTTTAAAGAAGGCCATGTTTTGGCTACGGCTTTAGCTTGAATCAAAGAGCTGAGGAGAGGATAAAATTACTATCTTTTTATAGAGAGATCATCAAAAAAGAATCTTTTATTAAATAGGGAAAAAAAATGCAAATGAAGATGAACTTATATTGATGTATATGAATTATCTCCTGGATGCTCAAAGCTATTACCTTGCACTTTAACCCTTCTTACTCCCCTATTGTATCTTTTGCACTCCAGGGGGATTCATCCTAATCTAGTGACTGTCAGGAAACAGGAACGTGAAGATATTTCGCTCTGATGACATATTTTAACTATAGGAAAACTAAATTTGTCTTTACATGAGTGTGAGCAGCATGTTAAACTCTTTCTTTTTTAGATACTATCTCTAATCCAACATGGTCGTATGATCATGTCTCAACATTAAGCCATAACTGGTCTTTTTGAAACAATATTATTTAAAAACATTCAAATCTAAAACTTGTGCAATCAGAATATTATCACTTGAACATTTTGAAAGTAGATACTTGAATCCACAGTTATTTTAACAATTAGAGCAAAATGAAAAACAGAATATATTCAATTATATTTGCAGCCCATGTCACCAATTATAATGACTATGCTTGCATACAAAAAAAACAGAATTTAAATCTATTTTATATTCTCTTAAGTGTATTACCTAGATAGCAATCTGATAGCTTTGGATGAAGTTGTGATGTATGGGTATTCTGGTGCGTTTATAAGGGTGCTTTACTTGCCACTCTACCTTAAGGACCTGATACTAAATCATCCTGCCGTCTGCTCTTCACTGGCAAGGACTCTGAATTTTGCACCAAAAATAGTCAAATGTCATCATGAAGATGAAGCACTGATGTCGGCAGGACATGTTCAAGAAACATTGAATTTGAAATGTATGTGTCCCAGGTGGTGTTATCCTTGCGCCGTGACCTTTTATATTGTAAAGCAGAGATCTGAGCTGAATCCCTCCATTATTAATCAACTGATGGAGTTTATTCAGGTGGGGATGATTATGCATGAGTCTGTCCCCGTGAGCGGGACGGACCTTTTATCTTCTATTCAGGTTAAACTGATGGAGGGGATAAGTTAGACAAGTACTGATTGGTCCTCGGATCTTTTTCCGATATAACCGAGCGACACGAGTTGTCCAGGCTTTGTGTGTGTGTGTGTGTGTGTGTGTGTGTGTGTGTGAGTGAGTGAGTGTGTGTGTGTGTGTATAAAACAGTTAGCACCTTTATAATGACTGGACGTCTGAAATGTTGACACTTTTTTTGTTGAGTGTTATGCTGTGGCACAGAATCAGTTCATCAGCTGCTTGTAACTCGTTTCATTGATAACGTCACATTGACTGTGTTTACCTGACAAGCTTTGGTGTTGCAATATGATAGTTGAGCACTGCTTTTAACAGTGGGTATTTTATATTTTATCACACCCTTTACGATCTGTCTTCCTATGATGTGGAAAACACATATCTACCCTACGGCAGTGTGCGCTAACTGCATCATGTTTAGAGAGTACAGCAATACACCATTTTAGCTGGTTTTGTTTGCTTGCTGATATTTTGATATTAACGTGTCTTCTCAGAATCGTATGGCTTTTTTTTTTCACCTCCCCTACTTTTATTTGTTTGCTTAAAAATGTTTTTTTACATGTTATTAAATCTGAAAAAAAAGGTTGAAGAAATTTGTAGACTACAAAGAACATTGTAGGCAGACGTGTCTGCACACACTGTTATTTTATCCATTTTGATGATGCACATAAACTGAGCTTTTTCAGTACACAATGACAAACACAATGAGAGAGTCCTTTATTATGACATATTCAATATGGGACAACAAGGCATATGTATGTGTGTTTGTTTCTGTATTTAGTGCACTTACTATACCATGAAATAGGCTTGAAATAGGAGTGTTGTTGGAGCTTTCTAGTTACCCTGACTGTGTGTGGTGTGACTTTTGTACCTGGGGAAACAGCAGGCTCAAGTGTCTTCCCTTTGTCAGCAATGTTCATTCTGAAATCAAGGTTAATCCTTAGAAATCCCCTTAGACAGCCTGATAACTTTATCCTTTTTATTTGGACAACAGATGTTTGTTTTGTATGCTACCTTCTTCAACACGGTATCTGCTCTCTTGTAGGGGGCCATTGTGATGAAACTGTTAAGAGTTTAATGAGATGATGTTGTAGCTCATAACTGGTTATGATATATAGGTAACAGGTGAAATGAGACTAATGATGTATTAAAGACTTCCATATCTGAAATTATGATGTATAGAACCTAACATAGGAGGCGGCAATGTCTCCTTTGAGTCTGAACTGTTACAATTTTTCTCCCAAACTTGTTGTATTACCTGTGCGTAAGTATCCCTCAACTAATTAATAAAGGTTTGTTGACTACATTTTGTCAGCTGGGTTCATTTTCAGTTTTTTTTATTGCTGTAAAATATTCTATAGATTACCCTTCCTGTAATAGAGTGTAACATGCACACATTGTGACCTGTCAGTCATCAGTGTTCCCAATGAGATTAAAAGTCATTATTAATGAAACTGTTTCTAGTATAAAGTTTAGTAGATACTGGCTTCTTCACAAAGCTACATAAGGACACACTTTTTCCCACTATAGCGTGCCAAGATGTGCAACGTGAAATAATTGGATAACGAAAATTATATTTCTATGATAAAGATGAACTCAGATTGATTTGACATAGGCTATATAAAGTATTTAATGTTCTGTCATAGGCTGTTTATCATTTTTAAGTAATCAAAGATTAGAAAGTATTCTAAAGTACTACTGCTCATGCTGCATACATGTGCAATTTGTAGATACAAATTCTAAGATACATATTAATACCATAATTAATTGACATAATTGTTATTACATATTTGGATGAAATTGTAACATTCATGCCAAAATAGCTTTCTGAATTTAATGAATTATTATTATCATCATAATTTCAATTAATGGCATATAACAAAATGTAACCAAATAATCAGTGTATTTTTATTATTATGTAATAAAATAACACAAAAATGCTCACAGCCATTATTCCGATTTTAAAGCTTACACGTGGCCAACTGCCCCTCTTACATTGCCAGTTTAGGGAAAGGCCCTGCACGATTATCATACTGTACATGCTGCTGGCTTTAGGGTGAAAGAACAAGAACGGTGCATTATGGGAATTGCAGTCGACCAAGAGGCGATATGGCGGAGGTTTTCCAAAGAAGAAAGCTGAGGAGCACTACAAGTCCCATGATGCCTCAGCGTCGACTGTACCCTCCCCACCTGATTGTCAATAGAGAGCAGCAATGTCTGCCGTAAGCAGGGAGGAAAGGCTTTCAAAGATGGAGAACGAAGAGAAAACTTCTTCTGTGTCAAACAGGTAAACATTTTTTTTTTTGGTGCTATGCTGACACCGCTGTTATTTATAAACATTTATGAGATTTCATTTTTTTGCAGTCACTTGGGTAAGCTGTAAGCATCTGTTGTGGAGCTGTCACACTGTGTGCCTTCATGGGAACAGTCACTGCAACACCTTATACTAAAGTAACATGTCGCGGATATGACAGCCAGGAGGTTTACCGTGTAATAAGTAGCTTACTGCGGATGTCATGTAAATTGGCCTACTTTTAGCCAGTCGCCATGTTCACTCTTCCACTTGGTTGTAACAATTTCTTGGTAACACGAGGTACCAGTAATGTAAAGTCATCCGCCCGTACCAAGAAAACATTTGAATACACGCATTTAAAATCAGATAAAACAGTGAAATACGCGAACATAACGTGTAGCCAGAAAACAAAAGTGAGAAAAGCGAGCAAAAGCAGCAGGAGACGAGAGTTCAATCACCGTAAGAGGAGAGTAAAAAGCATGGCATGCTGTGCTGTGGTGGGTGACTCACGTTTTAAGTGCGAATTTGTCTGCACTTCTCTTAGGGGGAAATACAATGCTACAGGCAAGAATGATACCTAGTTATGACTAATGCTGAGGCTTGATTATACACACAGATATCCCAATTGTTGACCCAGTTTCCTGTTAACTCGCTCTCTATGTAAACGCCTACAGTGGACCATGCAGTAAACCCAACCTTAACTTAACCCCCCCCCCCACTGAGCCACAGGAGGGCGCTACTGCACTGCTGTGGCTCACTGAGGGTTTTTCTCCCTTATCATAGAAATTCCTGTTTCTGTTGCTGCATACTCGCGTGGTTACTTTTAAAATGACTAAAGCATTGCAAACATTAATAAAAGAGACATATTCTATGAGCTAACCTGGAAAACACGCTTGGAAGTATATTTTTATGATTTCAAATGAGCAGAAACGTGTAAAAAAAACAACTTTCACACAAAGTATGCCCTTGAAAGAAGACATTCCATTTGAACATTTAAAGCTTTGTTTGTATAAACATTAGCTTCAGATTTACTGTACTGAACTGAATATTTGTACAAGCATTCAAACCTATACTGTATGATAAAAGAAAAATCTGCCATGCAATTTTGAGTATTTCACTGATGTTGTGCAAGAAGTAAATATTGAAGTGTGCATATATGTGACTACATTACACTTTTACATTTTTTATGCAGATCTTTTTTTTTGTACACATCTCCTGGATCCCAAAACATTTAAAATACTAGCAGCGTTTATTATGATTTGTTCATAGGGCATACCTGCTTACTATTAATTTTGACGCCAACATTTGGCTTGTTAATATTATGCTGCCGTTGAAAAGTTGATTGATTGAGCTTCCCTACAGGTGTTCTAGTTTTTTTTTCTACACTCCCTGTATAGATATCTACTTACATAACTGTGTCCTCGTTTCTGAAATAGATTAGAACAAGCGTTTGGAATTTGAGTCATGTTGCCATATTTTATACCTTTATGACCTCTTTGAAATATTAACTCTGACATCCAATCGCTTTAATGAGTAAATGTTGACACAACATTGGTCCTGCTGAATTGACAGTATAAGTAAGTTTAACTTGAGCTCTGGCCTGTAACCCTTCTGTGCTTCTCTGCAGCCATAGCGAGATCCCTGAATGTTTGAAATGGCATCCAGTTCAGCCTTCTTTTTCCGATGTGGCTTTCTTGCTTTGCAGCTGTCGTCTTTAAAGTAACGGCGTCATGTCCCAAAAACAACATTGAAGATTATAGGAAAAACTGAATCTCCTTGTGCCTCTCCCCTGAGGTTTAACCAGGAAGTAAACAGTAATTATGGCTTGTCAAATCCACGATCCAAATATTTGAAAAACACTTTGAGTGTTAGTTTTATGTGTATCCAGTAGCTCCTGTAAGCAGTGCGGCTTTTTTAAACTGTGAGCTGCTCGGCTCTTCGGTTTCTTTTTTACTGAGCTTGAAAACAATTAGTCTGCCTGCAACCTATGATCTCCGAGAATAATCATTTTGTTTGTCTGCGCAAGTGGTGGCCCGGGAGGACTTTGCGTTGGTGTGCGTTTTGTGTGTTGTACATGTGTGCATTGCCTTGGGCTGCTCCTCAGACTGTCAGCTGACTGAGCAGTGGAGGTGGTGTTGAGTTTCATCATGCTGAAGTTAGGGAGGGGATATCGCTGTGGGTGTTTGTGTTGTATGTTTGTGTGACGTCTCCAAACTCTGGTGTAAGGCACATAGAGACAGAGTGAATCCCTGCAGGGGAACAGCCCACTGCCTCCCCTCTGCTGTTCCCTGCTGTCCCCCTTCTCCTTTTCCCCCTCTCTTTTAGCGCCATAATACAGCCTGAAAGTGTCTCTGTTGTGTATTGGTTACACTTGCGTCAACATCAGAGCTTTTTATTCCTTTTTTTCCATTCTTGTTTTAATTTTAATTCCCCCCCCCCCAATTTGTTCCCTGGTGTCTCTGTCATTCTCCCTCTTTCTCCTCCAGCCTCATATTGCAGCACTGGCTGTCAAAAACAGATGACCCAAGCTTGGCATGTGTGTGTGTGTGTGTATGTGTGTGTACCACGAGTGGGAACGTCTGGCTCTAACCTGCTGCTATTAATATCACCTAATGAACATAATCTGGAGGGTCGGTTATCCTCTTACATTTGTTGGTTGAGCGGCTGAGGGGAGGAGTGGAAAGCAGGGGAAAGAGGAGGGAAAAGCTGTGCTGTAGTTTTCACACTGAGTGTGCTCTCTCTGACAAGCTGCAGTGACTTGACTTCTCTCTCTCTCTCTCTCTCTCTCTCTAGTTCTCCCTGAATGGAAGAATAGAAAGCTAAGCAGCTGTTTAAAGTTTCGTTTCTCATCTAAGTCGGGCCCCTCTATATTACCCATCACCTATCTGTCCCTCTCTCTTGCTATGTTGTACCAGAGGGCAGTGCTATAAAGTGCTTTATTGAGCTAGAGTGTATATATATATCCTCAGTATTCCTATTGGTAGTAATATTGATTTAAAAGCCACACAGTGGAAACCTCCCATTTATATTCCTCTCCGGTCATGAACTCTCTACCGTCTTACTCAGGAGCTAGAATCTCTGGATGTTGGAATCTAAGATCTGATGGCAGGTAAGTGCATCATATTTATTTATTAACTACTATCCAAATATTTTCTTATTTCATCGTAAGGATTAGCTAACAGTTGAAGTTGTCCAACTGTTTCTCTCACAAATGTGGATAAACAGGAGCGGCAGCTGTGGTGTGTAGTGTTCACGTTTATGTTGACATACTTTGAGAACGTTTGCATCTGTTGCTTACTAGTGGATCTGTTGCTTACTAGTGGATCTGTTGCTTACTAGTGGATCTGTTGCTTACTGGAGTTGTTGTGAACAGGTTTATGTTTTTCTGTTGGTATTGATATTGTGTTAATACGATTCACAAATTGTAATGCAGTTGGTTAAGTTTCATTTTACAGATGCAACAACCAAAGTACACTGTTCAATTCAATACTTACAACAACAAATATATGCTGATGCAACTTTGTTTTCTTCTTGTCACCGATTCTGACAGACTTGAGTAATGGCTGAGACCCCTCCTATATACGTTTTTATTTTTTTTTAAGTTCAGGACTAAGGAGAAAAACACTGATTGCTAACATATTGCTAGCTCTGAGTTTTATCATACTTTCCACTGGCACCATACTGTTTCTGCTTGTTGTTTTTCTCATTCTGATTATTTACTTCAAACCAGTTTGTTCCTTCAGGAGGCTTTGTGGTTACGGTATCAGTTTAGTGCATGACTTGATTACTTGCTGATACCTGTTGTTTACCAACAAGCCATTTACGGCAGTATTGGAGACAGATATCGACAGTGGTTCAGTAGTTTGGTTGATATTGGAAGAAATACTCCTACAATTATTATTACAGTTATACGGCTTGCATCAGATTTGTCAACCTGAAACCTTAAGTGCACCATTAAGTTGTTGGCATGTTCTGTGGATTTTTCAAATTACTGCCATTGTGCATGTGTGTAGAGAGTCACGTCTAAGGTATGCAGCACTGTGATCTATCGACAACCTCTCCCTATTTTTGCATTCATAGAAGACTCTGTTAAATGTAAAGGAGCAGGGAATACTGACCGTAACCTCTGAACGAGGGAATGATTCAGCACAGTCAACCAGGCTAATCTTTTATAGCACCCTAGTTTGGTTTTAACTGATAACCCAGCTTAAGTGTGCTCTGCCTCATGCATGTTTCTCTGAATTTGTGTTTGGTGGCTCCTTTGCTCCAATCGAAGCTCTGGTGACCCTTTAGCGATAAGATAAATCTTTGCTCTCTCTTGTTTGCTTCACCTCTGTCCTCTTGACGTTGTACCTGTGGAGGTATACGACCTATAAAAAAAAAAGACATGCAAGCCGAGCGTTGACTGAGTAACACAGGAAGAAAGACAGAGGGACTTCTAGGACTCTCATACAGCCGACACTAGCATCATGGCATCAGGGTTTTTGCAGACCTCACTGGGTGACGTGTTGATGTCTCGAATAATGAAGTAAGGTGTTTATAGCTACTGTTACCTGGGCAACTTGTGCCTTAGAGATACATGGCTGCATATGTTCAGGTAATCATTCCTGGTGATATTCCTTCTTCTTTTACACCAGTGACTGAAATGCGATTGCTTTACTGGCCCTGTCTCTGTAGATTTTTTTTCTTCAGTCTATAGACGGTCATGCAGTACTGATTTTTTTTTTTTTTTTTTTTTTCAGATCTACTGTTTGTTTGTTTTTTGGGAGGGTTTTCATTGTCGCTGGTTCCCTTAGCGATGGGATAGACCAGTTCTTTGTACCATTGTCTTCTGCTCTGAATCTTAAGTAGCAACAACAACAACCATGTGCTGAAGGATTGTTCTCATTTTGTTTCACTTTTATTTTGTAATGTCACAAAGTCCCTGTGAATGTGGTCCCTTGGATTGTTATCGTGTTGTGCAGTAAAATGACTAGCATGTTGAGTTTGAATAGCCTATGCAAATGATCTCCTGTTGTCGTATGAGCCTCATACCTGCTTATGAAGAGCTTGTTGCCATTTGTCACATGCAGTGTTATTATGTAATTGTCTATTGATCAGTCATGACTAACCCTTAAACCATTGTGAACACATGAGTAAGTTGCAGAACTGATCAGAGGCCTGTAGTCAAATATGGTAGCTGAGTCAACAGATTCACCCCACCCAGTTAACACAATGTGCTCTGACCTTTGGTACCTTAGTACAAAAATGGGCAAAGCTCACCTTCTGAAAATGTGAAGACTAAACATTAACCCATGTCAGAGAGTTAACAGTGGCACAGTGTTGTTTACTGTCTGATAGCGTGGTTACAACTTGTCAGGGGTGTGGTGATTGTGTGGTGAAGTTATGCACACACATAACGCAAAGTGAAAACAACTCAGCTTTTGTTTAATGAAGGAGAAACTTCTAGAGGACATCTGTGTCTTTTTTGTCATCACAGATCGTTGGCATCCGTTTTTTCCATTAACTGACTTTTACCACCGTTCAAGCTAGGGATGCAAAACATTGGATTTGGTAGTTAGAAACTGGATAGACTGATATTTTCAATGTTATTTTTTGCTGTTTCAAAATGTTCTCCCTAACTGAATATCTTACATCTTAGTATTTCTTTGTGGCAGATTCAGGCTTGAGATACTCTGCTATTTGTAACACATTCACTGGACTTGTAAAATCAATAAGTCATTTTGTTTCGTCTCACTGAAACATCCTGGCCTGTTTTAGACTGTTTTTAAATTGTGACTTCAGAAAAACATTGTCCTTTTACCTCCTTTAACAATTAAGCTAAGATGATTTTAAAGTTGCCCCTCTACTTTGTAACTTAGAGCTAAAAATGATTCCCTAACATATTCTGTATACTTGACGATACATCAGCAGCATGCCAGGCTTTGCTCACATCTGTAACCTGTAAGACATGAGGGGACTGTCACTCAATATTAAGTAAATAATATTTAGAGGTCCTTTCAAAGAGAAAATTACAGTTTTTCCAGCGTGATTCATGTCAGACAAAGTTCAGTGTATTGAGCACAGTCTTAACTAAATGTAAAATATCTGCACAGGACTGTGTTCATTATGATAAATGAGTGAGAGTTAGGAAGCTGTTGAGTGTCTGTTTATTTTATTTTTTAGATTTGTGTAAATCCTGGTTTGCTTCTTTGGGATGCACAGTGTACATGTGTCTGACACAGAGTCAGACTCAGACTGGATGTAGGCTGCATCCCAATCACAGGTTGGAAACAGTGTAGAAACGTGAAAATACAATCCTGCTCTGCTGAAGTAAAACGAGTGCACATCAATTCCATAAATATAGTATTTTGTGCCTTTCTTTTGGGGTTGGGGGAGGTTGCATTGTGGTGGTGGGCAACCATCCCAAATGAGTGGTTGGGGGAACACTGATAAAATAGTTCATTTTAAAGTGTGCTTTCTTGTTTTTCTTTTGTCGTTGCTCTTCAGTGGAGGCGGTGAGGGATCGCTGGACCGGCTCCTCCCCACGGTAAGCACAGGTCTGTCACCCAGGAAAAGGACCACTAGCCAGTGTAAGTCTGAGCCGCCTCTCCTCCGCACCTCCAAACGAACCATCTACACCGCCGGCCGCCCACCTTGGTACAACGAACATGGAACACAGTCGAAAGAGGCCTTTGTCATTGGTAGGAATCCTAAAGACATTTGTGCCAAAATGTAACAAAGATGTTGTTCTCTTTCCTTTTACACTGTTGTACAGTATCCCATAGTAACTCACGTCTTGCATCACAATATTTAACACTTGGTGTCAATACATCTTTGAAAGCTGGAGTTCTCAAAACTAAAGGAAAAAAACACCCTAGACTTAAAGTAGATTCTAGAAGAGTCTTAAGGCAAAATCCAAAACCATCAACTTTTTATTTTAATTATGAGTTCATACTTATTAAGGTTAACTTGTTCAAAAAGCGTTACTCTTGTTGACTTAACAGGTATATTGATTTGTATAGGAAACAATGTTATATAACACCCTGTACAAGAAGATAAATGGGCGGCAGTAGCTCAGTCTGTAGGAGACTTGGGTTGGGAACCAGAGGGTTGCCATTTCAAGTCCTGGTGCGGACCAAAAATATGGAAGTTGGTCTGGTAGCTGGAGAGGTGCCAGGTCACTTCTCGAGTACTGCAGAGTTGCCGTTGAGCAAGGCACCGAACCCCCAACAGCCCCTCAATGTCCGCAGGTCCTGTTTGTGCATGTGTGTATTTCAGGCCTATGTGTGTGAGAAGCGTGTCTGTCAATAACAAAACTCAGGGATTAATAAAGTGTCTAAAAAAAAAAAAGAAGCCTTTTTCAGAAATAAGTAACCACTGTATTTACAGCTAATGGATATTGACAAGTTCATCCAGCGTGATTATTGACATCTAAACTGAGTCAGAAGTAGCTCTGCTTCACAGAGAAGTGTTCCACGTAGAAGTTTAATTTCTTTGAATTAAACTGAATATTGTGTCAGGTAATGATCTTACTGGAGGTGGGCAAAAAAAAACGATTTATGTAAAAATCAGGATTCTTCTTTTCTAAGATTTAAAATCGATTCATAATTTCCAAAAATCAATTATTTTATTTTTTTGGTTTTTTTTTTGGCTAATCCGTCACTCCCTGCTAAGTGCTAAGGCTAGCTCTTTAACTCAGTAGAATGCCGAAAGAGCTACAAGCAATTCAGCCATTCTCACAGATGACTGGAGTAGATCCTGAAGAATGTACGAATAAAAAATAGACTTTGAGTCATGAATCATGAATCGAAAATCGACTCTGAATCGAAATCGTGACCCCATGAATCGAAAATCGAATCAAATCGTGAGACAAGCAAAGATTCCCAGCCCTAGATCTTACCTTTATGTTCATGAGAATCTGATCTCTGTTTCTACCTGCCACTATACGTGCAAATAATAGCCTAAAGCAAGCTCAACATTCGGTTGACAGGGGGCCAGGCACTAATGTGTTCCCACAAAGCAAAGGCATTTTAATATTACATTTTTAATCAAAAACATGCAAAAACTTGTTCCCGTGTTTGTGTGTCAGGTCTGTGTGGCGGCAGCGCTTCAGGAAAGACGACAGTGGCGAGGAAAATTATTGAAGCTCTAGATGTTCCGTGGGTGGTGCTACTCTCGATGGACTCTTTTTACAAGGTATGCATGTGTGTTCACTACCTGTGTATTGATGGTGTGTGTGTGTGTGTGTGTGTGTGTGTGTGTGTGTGTGTGTGTGTGTGTGTGTGTGTGTGTGTGTGTGTGTGTGTGTGTGTGTGTGTGTGTGTGTGTGTGTGTGTGTGTGTGTGTGTGTGTGTGTGTGTGTGTGTGTGTGTGTGTGTGTGTGTGTGTGTGTGTGTGTGTGTGTGTGTGTGTGTGTGTATTTGCATGCAGGCACACAGCAGTTTTGCATGTTTTAGTATGAGATACTTGTTGTGTATACCATCAAATGGAGGTTTGCTGAGTCATGACATGTTTGTGCATGTCTTTGCGTCAATCCTGGTGCTTTTAGGTTCTATTGATTAAACTTGTTATCAGACGAGTCCAAGAAATGTTCGTCTTGTATCTTTGCCAGCCTCTCAGTGGCCTGAAGAGAGGGTAAGGAAGAGTGAGACTGAGTGCAGGAGACAGAGTGAAAGGGAGAAAATAGGATTACTCTCACGTCCTGGAGGGGAAATGAGGATAAAGTGAGGAGTGACTGGAGAGAAAGGAGACGGAAAGGATAAAATACTAGAATGCGGATGAGTCAAAAGAGAGACACTGTGGAGAGCAAATTGAAGAGAGAAAGAAGCAGTAGTAGTGGTGGAGAGCAATAAAGCAAGAGCCATAATTCTGGTCCCTCCACCCACTCTCTGGTTATGTAATCCTGTCACAATCTGACAGCAGCAGTTCAGACTCTGCAGAGTGGGAGGGATTTACCAGTGGTCACTGGTACTGTAGCCCTCAGCACTGTGATACGCGAGGTTGGCATCCAAAATGTTTCCTCTTGAATTTTTGCCTTTTTGAATTCATATCTACTTTTTACTCTTTGAGGGGTTCCCTCATGTTTTCTCACAGCCTCCAGAGAGGCCTGTAACACCGGTTGATCATAACAAATGCTAAATCATTTCACTTGAGAAGGGGGGGGGGGTGTTGCTTGCTGTTCTGAAACTGCCAAATGCCAGATCTGGGGTTTTAATGCTAAGCTACCCTGAGGGCAACACACACATACACACACATTCTTAGCACCTGGTACAGACGTCACAGTAGCGCAACATGTTCTCTAATTTTAGGTCCCCTTCCTTTCAGCGCTCTTGAACAGTGAGCTGTGTCCAAGGGTTTTTTTGAAAAGGCTTATGTAAATTATGTGAAAAACGTTTTTTTTTTTTTTTTTTTTTTTTTTGCTTTTATGAAAAAAAAAAAAGAAATCTTAATATGCTAATTTCAATTTGTGTGTAAACAAAAGCCAGGAACTGGAATTTAAAGGAAACATTTTTGACAAGAATCACATTTGTTAATCCTTGCAGACCTTTGTTGTTGTGACAGATTTCCTGTGGAATAATTCCAGCATGTGTAATTGTCAGGTCCTGTCCGCTGAAGAGCAGACTCTGGCTGCCAGTAACGACTACAACTTCGACCACCCTGATGCCTTTGACTTTGATTTGCTGACACACACCCTGCGCAAACTCAAACAGGGCAAGAGTGTGAAGATCCCTGTGTATGATTTTACAACCCATGGCAGACAGAAGGAGTGGGTAAGAAAAAAAAAAACACAAACTCGTGAAGCATCAGTCAGCTGTGAATTTACCAAATATAATCTCAGTTTCTCGATTACCTAAGAGGGTTTTAATCCTCCACATTGCACTCCAGATGGTGACTGAAAAAGTACAACTGTGTTATATTTGTACTTGTTTTTATACTTAAAGTCCATTATGTTTTACCACTGCAGGAGGAGAGTACTGGATTCTGATTGGTTGTAGGGTGCAAGTGAAACCACCAAAACAAGCAGCCACCAAATATCTCTGTGAAACTTTCTGTTAGGCGATCCTGACTTATGTGCTGGCTACAAAATGTCTGCCTGTATTTGTTTACAATTTATGCAACTAGTCAACAAGCTATCGTGTTGTCAGGAGAACGAGGGAAACTAATATTTCAGAAAAGGAAACATTTGATGGCTGGGATTCACCTCATGTGAGAGAAACTGAAACACTTTAGTTATTTACAACCGTGTAGTCCTCCAGGTCTCCCCTGAACTCTACAGGAAAGAGACCTTAGCTGCAAAAACATGTGATCTTCTGACGTCCCATGTGCTATCAAATGTGCTACTTAGACTGCACCTGTTCATGAAAAGATTCATTTGGAGGTCTGGGAAATGACATGTCTGGTTTGCAAGCTAGTATTGTTACTAGACATACTTTCAAATTATATCATTTGACTTATGTTTGAATCTTGCTAGTACACCACAGTGTGCTTGGTAGCTAAGCTAAGTCCTTCATTGAGCTGAGTGGACTTGAAATATCTCTTACTGCTGAGACTTCATCATAGATCGTATCTGTTTATTAGAGTAGGGGGTGTAAGGGAAACAGATTTAAGAAGGGATTATGGTATAAGCGGGATGATGCCCTCATCAGGGATTCTCCCTTACTTAATGAGACATTCTCTGAGCAATGTGAAGCTGTGATTTATTATGATGATTGTAATACATCATACTCACTGATTGTGCATGTGCTGTGTATCTACATTGTGCTGTAATCCTTAATGCATGTGTGTCCTCCACAGAAAATCGTGTATGGAGCCAGCGTTATCATCTTTGAGGGAATCATGGCCTTCACAGATAAAAAGCTTCTGCAGGTAGGCAGGTTTATTGTCTTCCCACATGATCAGCTGGTCAGTGGAAGGTGCGGGTGTCAGGTTTGTTTTTATCTGTGCATGGGATAAACCTGCATGCTGTTTTTTGTTCTTAATAAATTCACTCCCACAAAACAGACTCTGAAACTGAATTGCACTTACGGGATCAATAAAGTCACTTGAATCTGAATCAGTTTTGTAAAAAAAATTAGCTTATAAAGTGTTAAACTGTTCAATCAACTACAAACAGTAAACACATTGAAAACACTTTTTTGGACCTGATAAGTCTGCCATCAATATCTGCTCTTATGACCAGTGTTTCCCACACATAGACATTACCTGGGCGGGCCGCCCAATTATATTTCCGACCTGTTTTAATGAAATTCATTCATTTATTTATAAACATTTCTGCGTGCATGGGAGAGCGAGGGAGAGAGAGAGCGCTCGCGAGAGAGTGCAGGCAGGCGCGACGTATACGGCTCTGTGCATCATAAAAAAAACGTAGCTCTCGACTACTGCGGGTAGAAAAAACACAGCACATAAAAACTGCTATAAGTATTAAGCGCGTAGCTGCAGCTACTTTTCCCTGCTTCTCTCTCTGCTGTCATGGCTGTGAGCATCGCGGGGCACGCTGAGCTACAACAACCAACGTGCACACACACAAACACACACACACAAACACACACACTGGAGCGCCAGCCACCACGCGCATCTTTTTACTTTTAGTGCAACAGCACACAGTTGAGCCGTGATCCATGTGGACAGAGTCGGGACAATACGTTCGCTCTCAGCGTGTCTGCAGCTAACTAAACGATAGCAACGTCATCTCACAGCCTGCTGTAGTCTGTGAACTTCTCCGCTCAGATTAAAGCAGATTAAAGTTGTTTGTTTCAAAAACTAAATTCATTTAGAGGGAAACACATGTTTGATATAGATACAAACGTAACATTAAAATATACCCGAAAATAAGAGTAAAAACAAAAAGTATGAATCCCTTTAAATTTAGATCAATGCTACGTGCATTTCCACAGGATCACAATATCAACAAAAGAGCTCAGATGAACATTCTGGTGAAAAATAACATAGCAGCCGTGTGCTTACAGTCTATGGCAGTGCACTGATTGCAGGGAATAATTGTCCCCACCCACTCCCACTCGCTTGAAGTGAATTCTCCTGATTTGATCCTGCTGCATTCTCACATCCCCTCACTTCATGTGGAAATGAAAACTATTGAACTGGCAGGAGAAACTCTGGATAAAAACTGAGTGAAAAAATGTGGTTGTTTGTTTGCATCATGCAACATGCAGCTCACCCCGAAAACTTCAGGAGTTTTGTGCAAGAGTAAACAAAGCTATATTTTACTAATAAATGCGAACGTAGCTGCAACTTAGTCAATCTAAAACACATGAATGCTTTCATTACATACTCCATCTGAACACATTCCAGTGGTAGTGAGGGTGTGGCTGAAGAACATAGAATAGATTTATTTAGAGTCACTATACATCTGCAGCTGTAATATGAGCATTTATTTAAACAGGAAATAGAGGTTCAGCAGATAAAACTTCCTTGCCAGGCTTCATTTTTGCTTTTACAGAATAACTCATTTTAGACACTTTTCTTAGTTGTTGAGTATTTAAAAAAATATATATTTAAAACAATTTTTAGCACATAAATCTTTGACTTTGATAACAAAAGTCTTGACATAATTTGTATGTCAAGCTGTGTGTTGAAGAATTTGACCAAAGACAAAACGAAGAAGATACAAATAGAATCCAGAGGGTATAATTAGCTCCTCCTCTGTGGGAATGCATGCTCTGAAGGTTTCATCTTCTGCTAAAGGTTTCTTCCCTGTTTCTATTTCCCCCGTCAGTTGCTGGACATGAAAATATTTGTGGACACTGACTCTGACATCCGACTGGTGCGGCGCTTGAGGAGGGACATCACCGACAGGGGCAGAGACATCGAGGGTGTCATCAAACAGTACAACAAGTTTGTGAAGCCAGCGTTTGAGCAGTACATCGAGCCCACAATGCGCCTGGCTGATATTGTGGTGCCACGTGGTGCGTGCACATTCCATACACACATGTTTATACACGGACTGATTCAGCATTACATAAGGAGTAATATGATATTACTGGTGTCAGTTTTGAAGAAGCTGAATGAGAAGTGATCTTACTTGAGTTTAACTGCTATCAAAGTGAATCATTTTTCAATCACTGAAACTCCAAAATGAGCATCATGTTCCTTTGTGTTTTGTTGTCCCGTCAGGTGGTGGAAATATGGTGGCCATAGATTTGATTGTTCAGCATGTCCACAGTCAGCTGGAGGAGGTAAGAGAGGGTGCATTTGAAAAGGTAGCTACATAATCATGCTCACTCACAGGAAATGTGTCACTCCGGTTTAATTGATGAGGAGACATACATACACATTTGACCTTTATTGCCCTTAGTTCATCCCACCAGCTTGTGAGAGCTCAATATTTGTTAGTTTTCTGAACATGTATCCGACTGTTAAAGCTGACAGTACATCAAGTAACAACTCTCGGATGATCTGCAAGAAAGCCCAGTAATTAAAAGCTCCATCACTCCCTCTAGTGGATTTCAAAGGCACTGCACTGATTTAAGGGAAGGGAGAATTTGCATGATTGCCCTTAGTTTCTTCAGTAGTCTGGAAGAGAAAATTAGAAAGAAATACGTAATTTTGTGAAATTCTGTAAGCAGTTAGAAACTTCAACTAGAAAAGTACAGTTTGTTTTTTTCCTGTGGGTTGGTCATAAGGACAGCAACTACTAAGTGTTAATCTTTTGCTTTCTGCATCTTCATAGGGTCTCAATTCACAGAATATATCAGTATGTTTAATCAAAAAAACCTTGAATCTGAAGCCATAGCACTGTATTATATATATACTTTATAAACAATCATGTGGCGTTGATGGTACAGTCCAAAAATCTATTTTCTTCATGGCGTGTTCTGCGCCTCTCCAGATTAAACCTTTCGATTTCTAAACCAGTTTGCTTATTTGACCTTTGAATATTTATTGTGCAACATGCACCTATTGACTTTCACTTTTTTTGCTGGTGGGGAGCATGTTTTGCCACAGTGCAGTTTGCTTTGTTTCCTCAGCGCTACACACACACACACACACACACACATACACATAAACCACATTCACTGCTGATGGACTGCTCTCTCACTCTCTTCCCCCCCCCCCCCCACCCACTCCCCACCACCTCAAATCCCCCCGGGGCTCACAGCGCGAGCTCAGCGTCAGGTAGAGTTGCCTTTATCCTCTCTGTCATTCTCTCCTCGCCATCTGTTCAGTTTCCCCCCAACCACTTCAGCTTCTTACTGGGAGAGAGAGGAAAGGAGGCCAGGATAACCAACCTCCACCTTCCTCTCATCTGCTGGCTGCCATGGCACATCACCAGGCGCGCTGTTGTTTCTGTAGAGCAAATATGCCTAATTAGTGATCAGTCCTAAGAGAGTGAGACTGTGCCAAAATACTGCAAAGACCCCACACCAGCACATTTACTACAAAGTGCATTCTTAAATGAAATGTGACGCTACAATCAAAAGTTTGGGTTTGGTGTGGTGCAGCCAGCATTTAAAGTAAAAGCGTTGGTTTTCCTTCTCTCTACCGTTTAGAGGAATGACAACTCACACTCTTCCTTCCTTCTGTGTCTAAAAATACACCAATGAGTCGAGTCACTGACCCCTCCTTTCAACAAGAATTAGAGAATGGATGACTGTAACAGAAAGTGAGAGAGAGAGGAAGCTCTTGCTTCAGCAATTGATGCCTATCATATACCTCAGCCACAGAAAAAGTTTCCAATACCATACTATAAAGCACTGACTTTTTCCATTGAATGTCGGCCACAGTGTCTGAGAGAGAGAGAGAGGAAGTGAGCTCGGTGTCTGTCTTTAGACACAGGATGTGCTGGGGCCTGTGAGCTTGAAATACCAACCTGTACCGTTCTACACGCTGAAAGAGTGACAGCCACAGGATAGCTTGTGCACCACCCACGCAATCATGCAATGGGTGCACATGCTCAGATATCGAAATCTGTTTTAAAATTGTCTTTTATTTTCCCCCGAGCATCTGCAAAAGATCTTTTGTAGCACAGCTTGTTGCTGTGAATCCTCTCTGAATCATGACATAAACACTTAGCAGTAGCCAGGAAATATCTTACACTTTAATAGCAGTTTACCTTGGTGGTAAGCGTTTCTGAGGCATCCTCTTGTCTCAGCTGTCACACTTTTTGCTGTGTTTTATATTCCCTTCATCCACCTGATGTTATGTCTTTTTTTTCCGTTTCTTTCCTCCTCTTATTTGTTGTTCTTCGTCTTTCTGTGTCCCCCTCTGTTGTGATTCTTGTTTTGTGTCATCGTCCCCCCCCCCCAAAAAAAATTCTCCCCCATAGAGGAAACTTCGCTGGGATATGTGAGCAGATTTGCTATGATTTTTCTTTCTTATTGCATCGTGCTTATTTGTACCTCAGTGATGGAGTGGATACTAGAAGCAGAGTAGTAGTATGACTACCTCACTGAGTATTTGCAGCAGTGTGTCGGCTCTTTTAGAACCCTGGTTAGACTGAGGTTCACTAGAGAAACTGACCTCATGCGTGGAGTCCTGCAGAATAGTTACAATAGTAGAGACCTGTCATGGAAAAGAATCATCGAACCTTTTTATTGATACAAGTAAAAGTTACACTTATCTATTTAAAGAAAAGGTCTAACATCTTTTCCATCATCATGGTCTCTGGGCTGCTGTAATTCTTAACTGACAAACTCCAAACTGCCACTGTGTGCTTGGCATTTGTGTGTCTGCCCTTTCTCACTTACTACCTCTGTGAGCTTTTCCTTAACTGCTACTAAATAAAACTGATTTGTGATTTGTGTTTTGTTCTGCTTGTACTGACCCGTCTGTGTGTGTGTGTGTGTGTGTGTGTGTGTGTGTGTGTGTGTGTCTGTGTGTGTCTGTGTGTGTCTGTTTTCTGACTATGCACACGGTACACTTTGTACACCTGTGTAGAGAAATGTTACTCACGCTTTTATTTGTGTGTGTTGTATTCATGCGTCCGCCGATCTCTCTCTCTCTCACCCTGCATCGACCCCTGCTCTGCTATTTGTTGCCATGGTTACAGGGCAGCCTTGGCCTCTGCACACCAGGCCCAGCCTCTCCCCCAGACCCTCAGCGTTCTGGAGAGCACGCCCCAGGTCCGGGGCATGCACACTATCATCAGGTAAAAAAAAAAGCTAGTGAACTCGATCTGTTATTTCAACATCTACATCTTCTTTCATTTAATAAACATCATTAACATCCTTTTTTTCTTATCGCCGTATTTAGAAACAAGGAAACCAGCCGTGACGAGTTCATCTTCTACTCTAAGAGGTTGATGCGTTTGTTGATCGAGCGGGCGCTCTCCTTCCTCCCCTCACAGGTACCAAACACTGGAACACTTATTTAATTTATTCACAGCACTGTGTGGAGGCTGTGTCATCCTCTGTATTAACTAGAGCTTTGAATCTGACACATTTCTACCCGAGTGTAGATAAAGATGTGTAGAACAGATCAAAGTGTGACATGTCCGATGGATAGATGGAAGCTCACAAGACCTGTTAACAGAGTGAGACACAGTATGTTGAGATAAAGATCAATGGAAAAAAGAGCACATTCTTGTAATTGTTTATAACAAAAAGTGGAAATCAGTTACGAGCGCAGTCATTGGCCTGCAGCAAGAGGATGGAAACAAAGTCACCACAATGGAAAGTTCCATACTATTACCAGAAGATTCAGGTTACACAAAGTGAGACCGACACTTCTAAATTCACTGTAGCTGCACACCAGCTAATTTCATCCCTTCTGTAGCACCCTGTGATCAGCATCATTCTCACACTGTTGTGTATTTTAATATTATCTCAGGTCCACATAGTCCAGACCCCTCAGGGAGAGGATTATGAAGGCAGGACTTTCCACGGGAAGAGTGTGAGTGAACTCTGTTTGCTTCCTGCAGTCTTCTTGACTTGCTTCTTTTTCAATTTCTAGACAATTCAGAGGAATTTTGTCTCCAACCAAACGGGTGTACTTAACCTCTGTCTCTTCATTTTCCCTTAGATTACAGGGGTGTCCATCCTGCGAGCCGGGGAGACCATGGAGCCGGCTCTGAGGGCCGTGTGCAAAGACGTCCGCATTGGCAAGATCCTCATCCAGACCAACCAGGACACAGGAGAACCAGAGGTGCCAACAATTTTTTATTTATTTTTTTTACAAAAATGTATCATTTTGGGGTTTTTTATGTCGTGTGTCATGTTCCTGTTGTGTCGTCTTTGATGGTACCGATCTGGTGTTCACCCACATCCTGTCTCTAAACGTTTTCAGCTTCATTACCTGCGTCTGCCCAAAGACATCAGTGAGGATCACGTGATTCTGATGGACTGCACTGTGTCAACTGGAGCTGCTGCCATGATGGCAGTTCGAGTCCTATTGGTGGGTGCTTCCCCGAAGGTCACAAGTCCACATTAGCAGAAGGTGATCACACCTATTTTACATTGCCTTGTTGTCTTTTTCAGGACCATGACGTCCCGGAGGACAAGATCCTGCTGGTGTCTCTACTCATGGCAGAAATGGGAGTCCATTCTGTAGCCTACGCATTCCCACAAGTCAAAATCATCACCACAGCTGTGGATAAGAAGGTCAACGATCTCTTCCACATTATACCAGGAATAGGTGAGCAGTGGTTTAATGTGGACGAGTGTGTGACAACATTTTGACTATGAGATATCTTGTTTATTGCTGGATGGTGTCAGCTGTGATTATTATTTTTTTCTTCATTTTAACTGATGTTGCCACATGTTTTATATCCTTGCAGGAAACTTTGGGGATCGATACTTTGGAACAGATGCACCTCCTGACTGGAGCGATGAAGAGATGGATGAGCCCAGTTACTGATTGGATTTTCTGGAACTGCATTGACTTCTTGAAAGATTGAGGGCTACTGCTCCTCAGAGGACAATATGAAGGAAAACTTTCTGCCTCTGCTGAGACGTAACGTGTGTTCTTCAGTCAAAAATGATGCCAAAAAGAACGTCCTGAAAAAGAAACTGAAGCAAGACGAACACAATGCTTATGTACAGTCACTTTACTGAATTTTAAATTATATCATTTTGTAAAAAATTCTGTTGTTGAAAGTTGGGTTATAAGTGAAATATTTTTATATGTACAGTGTCTATCCAAATGTTTTAAGGTTTTAATTTTCTTAAAATCTCTGTATTGCAGTTTAAAGTTAGTTTTATTTTAATATATATATACATCACGCCTTAAGCCCCGTGCACTGTGGCCGACATAACTGAATGTGAATTTGCACATGCGGCTAAAAAAAAACAAAACACCCTTTAAGTTTATTTCCTACCACATACGTACCTTCCCCACAACTTTGACAAAAGTTAAATCAGAACACGAACCTGTGTAGTCAACTTTCATCGCCATGAGCACTTTCTGAAGGACCATTCAATCGGAAAACGTGTAGGTGTATCTGTCTTTTTTTTCCTTTTTTTTTTTAGCTCTCTGGTTCACCCTTTTCTTTCTCGGTTGATGCTGACCTAACCAGTTGAAATGAGAGTTAAAAGCCGTTTTTCATTATACAGCTTTAAGTATGCTCTTGTGGTATGCAGCATGTCCTTCATTTACATATTTTAGCTATGGAGAGATCTGACCAGTCAGCAGGCGAGTCAGACATCTTTTTACTGCTCTGAAAAATGGGTCAATGCGTTTAACCAACGCAACACGGACAACGTCAGTCTCACACACTCTGGTTTTCATGTTATTTTTGGTTTTTATTTTTAAGGGTTGAAGATGCATATGATTAGTGCCTGTTCATGTTCATATCAGAATTAAAATGATATGTCTGCTATAGACGGTGCCTTTTTGATATTGACTTGTAAAACATCCTTTAAAGAGACAGCTGTCCGGGGCGACGATGCTCTAGTGGTTATGCCCCTTGTGCAGAGGCTGTAGTCCTCGTCGCAGCGGCCATTTGTACCAAACAGACCTCGGCCCTTCGCTGCATGTCCTCCCCCCACTCTCCTCCCAGCACTTCCTGTTTCACTTCAGCTCTCCTTTCTAATGGAGGCAAAAATGGCCCAAAGAATATATGAACAAAAAACAAAAAGACACAGCTCTCCAGTATTTGGTGCCACACCACTCCGCTGCATCCACATGGTTATTTGAACAAATTCATTTAGACATCAGAAAGTGAAGGCTTCCGTATACATTGTATTGTGTGATCATATTGTACTGTAATGACTTGTGATTTAAGTATTATTAAGGGTGTTCCCTTCACAAGTTCTCAACTGTTCTCATTTTTGAAATGGTATTTAAACATTAAAAAAATATAAATTCAATTTGTTTTGGAAAGAATCAGAGATGCAAAACATGAAGGGAAATACATGAAATAACATGTAGTAACTCTGCATCATGTGGTGTTACTACTGTAGGTTCACCTTTACCTTCCATTCAGTCACCTGCTGCTGTACAGTTTGTGCTTACAGCTGAGTACAACTGTGAGTGAGTCATTCTGGACTAAAAGTTCATCCATTGTGTTTGCAGCCTGCAAGCTGCTTTGACTTAGTCTCTTCTGCAGCATGTTTTGTTATATACATGTTTAATTAAAGTGCAATACAGCATTTGATTGGCTCTTAGTGTATTATTTTTCTTCTATGTGAATTATGTTTCTCAATGAGCAGGAAGCTCTGCCCAGTCACACAGAGGTCATAACTCTGCCCAAGCTGATTTCTTAAGTCCGGGTTATTAAAATGCACCTCAAAGCGCATGAACTCCTCATCATGTTTTCTGAATCGTATTTACTTTTATAAGACATTTGAAAACAGAACAACATAACCCACTTTAAAAAGAAAAACAAACAGGAAGGATATTGTGGTCGTCCTCTTCTCATGGAAAGCAACCTCGATATCTTCCATCACTTTCCATAATTATCACTCTGACAGCTGTCAAGATGCCAGCCACGCTCAGGCATGATTGACACTCATTTGATGAGGCTGATGGACAATTACAAAGCGGCAGCCTATTAGGCAGATATTGACCCACAGGAGGCATCTTGTTGTGGGGGAGGAGGTGCGAGAAGGACAGGCAAAAGACGTGCGAGAGCTAAGAATATCAGAAAAGCTCAGAAGCTGCATGTTTATTCCTGTGCTGCTCGAGTTTATCTGGTGTCAAATACACAGCTGTCATAAGACTTGAAAGATTCTGTTTCTCTGCAAAGTTTCAATTGGCTCTATTTTCATGAAAAATGTTATAAAGAGTTAATTTAATTAGTGAAACTGGCTGATGTCTGCAGTAAGCTAGTAGACTTTGGTTTATTTTAGACAAAGCCTTGTATGTTATTTCCTCCACAATCAAACACACACACACACACACACACACACACACACACACACACATTTAGAGTTCTATGCTCCTTTGCATGATGACATTTGCCTGAATAGAGATTTAAAAATTAAAAAATTAAAAAAGATTAAAAAGAGATGTTTTTACATTATTCTAAATGACAAAATGTATGAAATCTAAATGTTTGTCCTCTGAATGGAGATGTCAGTGGAAAGTTTACCACCAGCACTGACAAACAGGAAGGTGGCGTGTGTCTATGTGTGAGTGCATGTGTGTGAGTTGCATCCCCATTGGTAGCAGCAAGTATGATGAGGTCACAGCCTTGTGAAGAGAGCAGGAGTGGCCTTTTTTGAACTTCTTTTTCGCCCTCTTTGCTCCTCTCCAGGTCGCTCTGTGTGCTCTCTTTCTATCTGCCTTCTTTTTCTTTCTTTTTTTTTTGGTCTCAACTTGATGAACATTGTTTCCTTGACTGAGGAGTCAGAGGGACTGCCATGTGGGGAAAGAAGTGAGCAGAGAAGACCTTGAAAGCTTCTTAGAGAAAAGAGGACTCTGCAAACATGCCACAATCCTCCATTAGAGTAAAGATTGTTTTGAGAGATGAAGGGGAGGAAACATGAAGAGTAAGTATGTATTTCAGACTGTTATTTGTTGGGGGTATGTGGTTTTTGGCAGGGTGTGTGTCTGGATTGTAAAAGTGAAGTGATGGTGTGAGTAGGCCAACCCAATACAGCGGCTTAATGCAGATAGCTGAGGATGAATAATTCAGGCAGGGAGGTTTTTGTGAATCATGTGAAGAGGGTTTGGATAAGTGTGTTTGAAGAGGGCAAAGTATTGCCTTTTCTCTCCCTCTCTCTCCTTCTCCTTCCACTCGCTTTGTGTGTATGTGTGTCTGTGTGTCTATCTGCATCACAAGAGAAAGATTTCCAAGAGATCCGACTGTCTTCATAAATCCAGGCCTGAGTGATTGATTTGTTTTGAGTATCAGATGCAGTTTTTGCATTAGACTAAGTCGGCTGAAGGTCTCATTATGCTCTCCGAGTGGTTTCAGTGCAGGTTTGCTCACAACAGAGATGCAAACATGGTGTTCATCTTGAACTGTGCACAGAGCTTTTTGAATGGAAAAATGTGCACAAATCTAAGCAAGATATGTGGTAGAAATGCATTGAATTTTATGTCAGTATATCAAGAGATATTAAAAGTGATTAAAAAAAATAAATGATATTTTGCAGTGGAGAGCGCATTTATAATGTACACTTTAACATAAGACACTTTTGTTTATTGTATCAGAGGATGTGACAAACGTAAGACCAGAATTTTACAAATTCAGTATAGTTGTTCTCATCTTTGAAGTTTTTTTCCCCTCTCCTAAATTTAATCCTTATATTTGTAAGTATAATCTGAATAATTTCACTGTGTTGGGGTTTCAAATTATGTTCATAAAAAAATACCGTGCTCTTTTCTTTTTGAGCCGATACTGATAAGATAAAGTGTCATGATTTAAAATCCCATTTTTTGGATGAGCAGGATTCTTAAATATAATGTTGTTTAATATTCATTTATTTTTTACTTTGGTAACCAACAGTGTTTGTGTTTATATTTCCTTTTCACATAGCCATTCAGTTGAACTTAAGGCGTTTAAACATGTTTGATTATGCATTACAGTATCACCCAAAGGTGCATCACCATGTGTGCTGAGGCTCATGGGGCCACTGGATCAATGCTCCAGGTCCTGCTTTAACCCTTGAGTGGTTCTTTCTAGGACTGTCTAACCTGAGAATGGTGATTTCAGGCTCAATCTCAGGTTCGTCAGCCCATGAAACGCTAACTCACTTCAGCAAATAACGAGGAGAAACATCAGAAGAAAAAAAAAAAAGTGCTGCCTGCACTTTTACATTTTACGTTTTGATATCAGGGTGTTAGGTTAGACAACTAGAATCACCTCTTTTCTGACCAACTTTGTTGTCTTTTCTTTTAACATTAAGTGTACATCATCAAGTAAGCTCTGTCAGAATACATAAAGTTATATGGCGATAAGTATTGACCTGCAATATACGATTTTCTGAACTCCAAAACTTCCGCATGGGCAGTTCTCTGAAATACCTACTACAAGAACGATCTCTTTTAAAAGTGCTTTTAAAATTAGTAAATGAATCAGGAAATACATTTACAAACAAATAGAATATACTAAAATACTTCATATTGGTAAATTCTCATTTCTAAAAATAATATACATTTGGTAGTGTTCTCAACTTGTGTTGGATATTTATATTTGTAAATACATTTCTGTATACATTTTTTTGGTTCTTTTCCTGACATAAACTCCCCTGACATTAAGTTTATATTTCCGCTTCCTTTCTGTTTATTTTATTAAACTAAAAATTGCACATTAACAGTATTTTGTAGAAAAAAGAAAAAAAAAAGAGAGAAGCTGGATCCTATTAGACCGGACGTCAGAGGGATTAATGATAGAGGCTTTTTTTTAACTTACTCTACATGTTAATGTACATAATAATCAATATTATAACTCTGTCTCTTCTCCTCACACATAATTACTTTAATGTTAAGAACACAGCAACTTCCCTCCAACACAGCGCAGCCTGTTAACCAGTAGAGGGAGCACTGCCCACACTAACCAGGCTGGTGCTGCTGGTGGTACAAATGACTTTGATACATTCAATTTAACTCACTGAGCTAAATCTCCCGAATAACCTATTAAATGATTCCACTTTAATGTCTTCAAGAGCAGCTCCTTTATCTCTGTGGCTGGTTGAAGGTGTGCCGTGTTCACACTGGGACAAATGGCACCTGCCAGACTTTAAATGTGTTATTTTAAAACACTGAGACAAAGTGGGAATGTTGATGTAAAAGTCCTCACCTGCACTGAAACTCCTGTTTGACCCTCAGTTAGTGCAAAGCTGTTCATCCGCTCCATTTATTTTTTTGTGTGTGTGATATCTGCAGATACCATTTATGTTTATTATCGTAGTGCTTTAGTCTAAAGTGACTATTCATGTCCATAAGAAATGATAACATAGTGCAATTATATACTTTAATGTATGAATCATATAGATACTTGTGTAATGTGTATGGGATATGAGAAATAATATTATACTCCCTCTGTTAATCTATAAACTGTAATTTAGAAAAACAGCTGTTCCTGCTCACTTATTCTTATAATAAATGGACAATTGCAACATTGTACGAAAGTGCATCAAATCTTGACAATAAAATCAAAGTTTATGCATTTATCATATTTGATTTAATGTGTTCTCAATCCTTTTTCATTAAACAGAAAGGAGTGACTCAGTGAGATTTGGATTTTTTTATTTTTTTTTAAACAATTAAAAATGGAAGACATGTAAGGATCAGTTCATAAAATCTCAAAGACATAAAATCTGAAAGTTGTACCTTATTCTTTTCTACCGAAGCATTCTCGGTATCTTTAATCTCGTACTGATTTAACACTTCAGTTTTCTTTTGTTCTCTGAGAGACTTGTCGAATCTTCTGGTAGCTCAGCTCACGAGTCTGGAAGAATCATCGCTCGTAACAACCAATCCTTTCTGTCTCATTCCTTTTCTGAACTGATTATTCCTTTTCTGAAACGGTTATTCAAATTGAAAAGATTCTGTGGAAACATTTTGATTTTACAAGGAAAATGACCATTGAGCAGAATCTGCAGTCTGCTTAAGAAGGACATTTTTTTTTAGAAAATGTTTCTCATAAAAGGGTCAGGAGATGTGTGGATAAATTGGTGAGTTATGTACAGTGGCATGTGCACATGTTTCCAGGGAACAGAATGCAATATCTTTTATATATTCTAACCTCTCACTGAGATTAGGGAGAAAAAAATCACAGCTATAAAATAAGGCGCAAAATGAAATAGAAGAAGCCACGTGTAACCAGTCAGACTTTTGAGTAGTTGATTTAAATTCAGCACAACAGCTTCATAGTCCTATTTCCCACTAACTATTCTAATTGTTTCAAAAATGCGAACAAAGCCATTTTCTATTTGAGATGATGACAATACCAAGAGAGTATTTATTTATGTTCAGACACAGGAAAACCAGACATTTAAGGATGAAAAATAGAAGAACCCCTCAATACACTGTGGCATCTGTGACTATTTTACTTTTTTTGTACAAGACTGCCCAGAGCATTGCGCTGCAGATTTTTAAAAATTTGGCAGAGATTGAATGACAAATTATCTTTTTTTTCTTGCAATTGTGTGAATATTTCCGCAGCATTAAAAAATAACTGGCGGTTACATGTTGCAGACTTTTG